AGGCCAGGCCATCTTCTTCAGTCTCTGTTTTCATATAACAGTTTCACTTATATCTACCTATGTAGGCATAGCCGTTATTTAGGTCACTGACACCTCTTTCCCAAATAATGTTCTTTTTTTTTTAAGATTTTATTTTATTTATTTGAGAGAGAGAGAGCACAAGAGGGGGTAGGGTCAGAGGGAGAAGCAGACTCCCCACTGAGCAGGGAGCCCGATGCAGGACTCGATCCTGGGACTCTGGGATCATGACCTGAGCCGAAGGCAGTCGCCCAACCAACTGAGCCACCCAGGCGCCCCCAAATAATTTTCATCAAATATGAAATCATTTTCAGTGATTTAGATTTTTGTTAATTTCTTCTTTGTATTTTTCTGTTTTGCTTTAATTTTTTATAGTGATTGTTTATATTTTTAAAATAAACATTTTTTTAAGATTTATTTATTTTAGAGAGAGAGAGTGCACATGAGCAGGGGGAGGGGCAGAGGGAGAAAGAGAGAGAGAAATCTCAAGCAGACTCCCTGCTGAGCATGGAGCCCAATGTCGGTTTGATCCCTGGACCCTGAGAGCATGATCTGAGCCGAAATCAAGAGTTGGATGCTTAACTGACTGAGCCACCCAGGCGCCCCAAAATATAAACATTATTTTAAAAGTGAGTAAATCAGCTTGGTCTCATCCTGAACAATAGTATCTATGAAATCACCAGTTTAATCTGGTTTTTATACTTAACATGCTCTTTTATTTTTATAAATTTTGTAATACACAAATAAATTATTAAAATTATAATGTAACTTAAAAACCAGTCAGGAACTTGCCATCAGTGATGCATATATTCACACTCAGGAAAAACCATACTGTAAATTATGCCCCTTAATATTATGATAGTTCTGGGGCGCCTGGGTGGCTCAGTCGTTAAGCCTCTGCCTTCGGCTCAGGTCATGATCCCAGGGTCCTGGGATCAAGCCCCACATCAGGCTCCCTGCTCAGTGGGAAGCCTGCTTCTCCCTCTCCC